TCTCCTGGTCCTCAGCATCTCCATTGTCGTGCACAAGGGCCACCAGATTCCCCTGCTCAGATACAAGGTGGAGACATGCTCCTCACTGGAGAGAACCCCTGCTCTTGGGGCCTCCAGTGTCCTGAACGTCCTCCCACAGATCGGCTGCCCTTCTGCTCCAACCAGCCCCTCTGCAGATGGACCCCAGTTCCAGTCACCTACTGGACGGTCTCACCAGCTCGTCACCTGTACTTGCAGCTCAGTTCCCTCAACCAGGCTCACCCTTAGGTCTTCAATATCAGCTGACTATGATGGAAAGTGCCACCCTGCCAGGCGCCAGTGTGTCTGGGCCACAGTCCCCGAGCACCTCCTGTGTTCCAGCCCCCGCGGGGAATAACAGGCAGGAGTGCAGGATGGAGGGAAGCCCGGGCGTGGGGGGCACTGGAACAGGGATCCCGGCTAGCCCACAGGCGGGGTCAGGAGGTGGCATATCTGGGCTGCAGGAGTCAGCTGATCGGATGGGCTGGTCAACCCCATGGAAGAGTGACAGCTGGAACAGTAAAGTCTCTTTGCAGGAATACTGCCTGCTTGTTAAAAAGAACGAAGCAAACCTACGTGTTCTCTCTTGGGGCAGTGAAGAACAAAGCATACTATGAAATGGGAAAAGTGAAAGGACTGAACAGCCTGGATGGCAGATTACAAGAGGAAACGGGGAGAGGTGACGTGCACGCACGCTCATGGCCACCCTCTCTAGGAGCTGGGAGGGAGATGGTCACTCTGCTAAAATACATTTTATGCTGTTTCTTTTTACTTTTTCAAAACTAAAATTATTTTTTTAAAGAATTATTTTATTGGGGGACCAGCAGATGGCATAATGGCTACGTTGTTGGACTCCCATGTAGTTGACCGTGGTTCGAGTCCCAGACCCAGTGGCTTAAACGCACACTGGGTGCATGTGCGTGCATGCCCAATATCCCAAGAAGAGAATGGAGGAGAAGGGATTGCAGTCTCGCTTTCTGCCTGTCTCTGTCTTTCTGGTGAGTGCACACACCCTATAGCAAAAACCTCTCCAAAAAAAATTATTTTTTTAATAATTATTTTATTTTATTATTTATTTATTCATTCATTGATTTTTTTAATTTGGCCAGAGAGGGACAGAAGGTGAGAGAGAGAGGAAGTGAGAAAGCAAGCCAACAGGTCCAGGACTCACCCTGGTCAGCCATGTGGGAGTGTCCAACACCTTAACCACCACGTCACTCGCTGGTCCCAAAAAAATTATTTTATTTAACTTCATTTATTTTAATTTTGACCAGAGAAGAACAGAGAGAGGGGAAATGAGAAAGCAAGCTGCCAGGGCCAGACCTCCACCCATGGTCAGCCATGTGGGAGTCCAGCACCTTAACCACCACGCCACCTGCTGGCCCTAAAACGAAAATTACTTTTATAAAAAGAGGGAGGTAGTGGGCTGAGAGCTACTATTTACCTGTCACCCGCCCCTGACGCACCCTCCAGGCCCTTCCATTCCCTCTTT